CACGTCCCCCACGCCCCGTCCCTCACAGCCCTGTACAGGCGGCACAGCTGTGGGTACTGATTGCCACAGCAGGACCCCTGTGGGCCTACTCTGTGCAGTGCTGAACTAAGTACTGCTCTCCCACAGTACCTCATTTGTTCTGAACTGAGTACTGCTCTCCCACAGTACCTCATTTGTTCTTGGGGGGTGTCATCACCTCCTTTCCACATAAGAGGAAACTGAGGCACAGAAGCAGCCACCACAGTCCCTGGCAGCATGTTGTGAGCTCATCAGGGTTCATGCAACCATTAGAGCAGAAATCCTTCCCAGGAAGGAAGGGGCAAGGGCGGGAGGGCTTCCTGCAGACCTGGAGCTCAGCTTTGGCGGCCAGGCTGTGGCGTCTACCCGGGGCACCACGCTTTGGCGCCCGGAGGACCCCGGAGGCCCCGGGCCGGCTTCCCGGCCTCCCGCTGGCCTCTTGCTGTGCCGGTCCAGGTAAGTTAGGTGGGACCTTCACCATTGGAAAAACGTTCATTTGTTGTTTTATAGCTCATTTCTCCAATTCTGAAAAACCAGAACTAGAGCAGAGATGATTAAGAGAGGCAATCTGCCCCACGAAGTGGGGAAGCTAACATGTCCATCCACCCTTCTGTCCACCCATCTATCCACCCTCCCACCCACCCATCCATGCATCACATACATCATTTTCCATCCATCCATCCATTCATATATCCACACATGCATCATCTGTCCATCATCTATCCATCTATCCATCCATCATCTTTCCATCCATAACTATCTGTCTATCCATACATCACCTATCATCTTTCTATCCATCCATCCATCCATTCATATATCCACACATGATCATCTGTCCATCATCTATCTATCTATCCATCATCTTTCCATCCATAACTGCATCATCTGTCCATCATCTATCTATCTATCCATCATCTTTCCATCCATAACTATCTGTCTATCCATACATCACCTATCATCTTTCCATCCATCTATCCATCCATCCATCCATCCATCCATGTATCATCTTGCCACTTACCATCTATCTGTACATATATACACATATATAATCCATCTACATCTTTCCATCCATCTATCCATCATCCCTCCATTCTTCCACCCCTTCGCCATCCATCTGTCTCTCCTGTGGCCCTAGTCTGTGGGCGACCTGCAGGGAGAAGGCTACCGAGTGCCCATGTCATGTCTCCCTCTGCCTCCAGGAGAAAAGAAGAAGTACCTGCCACCCAGTTCGCGGAGGGACCGGAAGTTTGAAGAGCTGCAGAAGGTACACCACCTTCCGCCCAGGCCCCTGAACTCCTCCTTCCCCCCAGGGGAGGCGGGGGCAGCAGCCCACCCCCCGGCCTTGGCCCAGACGGGCAGGCCGCGGCCCCGAGGCCCCAGGAGACGCGTTGAGTGGCTGTGGTGAACACGGGCTGGGCGCTGACTGCCACCTTCATGTGCAATCCCCACGTGCTCCCCGGCAGTGGAGAGACACCTGCCGTCCCACGGGAGAGGCTGCCTGACCCTGTGGGACCCTGCGGCCAGGCAGCGCTGGGCCGGGCGGGGAGGGCAGGCTGGCCACCAGGCCTAAGCCTGTGCTGCTCGCCTGCTTGGCTGCACTCCTGGCTCTCTCCTTGGCCGTGGGTCTTTCTGTGGCCTCAGGGTCAGCTGGCATGGCGGGTTTGGGCCCCTGCTGCTCTCTGTCCTGTACCTCCAGTCTGAGGTCTGTTTCCCCCTCCAGGGAGGCCTCCTGGCCTGCACCCTCTCCCAACCCACAGCTCTAGGGCCCCCTGCTACATTCTCTCCCGACCCTCTCCTTCCTGTGTCCAGTCCCATGCGAGGTCCTGGGCACAGACAAGGACTCCTGGACCCGACCTGGGCCTCCACGGCCCCCCTGGTCAGAGTCCTCTGACGTGGATCCTGGGAGGAAGTCTTGGTTGATGGAAGTTTCTGTGTGTGTGTGTGTCGCCCGCCAGCGTGGTGCAGACGTCTCGAGCCACATCCTCCCGACAGAGCCGGGCCTGGGGCCACGGCACCCATTGCAGCAGCTCGGTCTGCTCCCCACCTGCCCCTACGCCAACCACAGGTCCCTCGCTCCCGTCTCAAGCCTAGTCAGACACAGCGGGTCTGTATCCCCCCTCTCTTTGAGGCACCTGCTGTCCACTTTGCCACCACTCTGTTCCACGGCTGCCTACCCCGTGTGGGGTATTTGTGACAGCAGTGCCAATTGCTGAGCACAGAACCCTTACGCGCCCCAATGCCAACCCCACCCTGCCTGGTGTGGTGCCGGGACCCAGGGCTCTGTGGAAGCCGGGAAGGCAGGGAGGGCTTCCTGCAGGAGGTGACCTGCGACTGGAGGCAGCGCCGGGCTGAGGTGGACGCAGGGCCCGGTGCCCCCAGCCGGGTCAGCTGTCCCCTGGTGGCCGCAGGTGCTGACCGAGTGGCTCAACATGACCCTGCTCCCGGAGCACATCGTGGTGCGAAGCCTGGAGGAGGACATGTTCGACGGGCTGGTCCTGCACCACCTGTTCCGTGAGTGCTGAACCCCCGTGCACGATTCCAGGCCGAGCCAGGCTCCCGCCACCATCCCTGGGGAAGGGGTGGGCAAGCGGTGTGTGTGTGTGTGTGTGTGTGTGCATGTGTGTGTGTGTGTGTGTGCATGTGCGTGTGTGTGTGCATGTGCGTGTGTGTGTGCATGTGTGCATGTGCGTGTGTGTGAGACACTGCCCACGCCCAAGGCGGGAGGGGTGGAGATGTGGCTCCAGCCCAGCCGGATGCCCGAGACCGCTCCTTCCTGTACCCCACGGTCTCTCCAGCTTTGGAGACGGGGCTGCTGGTTCTAGGGACTAGGAGATAGGGAAGAAGCCCCTGTCCCTGCTGGACGCGGTGTGCACAGTCCGGGCCTCCCCCGACCCCGACGGCTCCTCCCAGGAGCCCCAGCGGCCCCTGGCCTCCACCCTGAGGGCGCCTTTCCTGGGGCTGGACTCAGGTCTGGGTACTCTCGCTTGGCTTTTTCACTCAAGGGTGGCACCACTTGCACCGCACCTCCACTTGTGGCTTTTGGGTAGGTATTGGAGAGGATAGTCTCATGGACTTTCCTGCCCAGGCTGGCTTTGAACTGCAGTTCTCAGATCTCAGCCTCCTGCGTAGCTAGGATTCCAGGTTTGCCTTCCAGGGACCCTGGTCCTGGAGCTGGGGGTGGGGGCGCTGGCCAGCAGCCACACTCCTGGCAGACAGACTTCTGGGAAGTGTCAGCAGGCAAGGCCAGCTCAGAGGCCGGGCCCGGCTCCTGCACCCAGCCTGCGGCCCCGGCCCGTCCAAGAGTGGACAGACGTCTCCCGGGAGGCGATGGCACTTCCGCCTGTAGGAGTAAGAGGTAGCCCAAAGCTGGGAATCCGGGGCATGCATGCTGCATCCCCCCCCCCGTTGGGCTGGGAATCCTGGGCATGCATGCTGCACCCCCTCCCCTGTCCCGGGTGCTCAACACCACCCCCCTCCCGCCTTCAGAGAAGCTGTCGGGGCTCAGCCTGGAGGTGGAGGAGATCGCGCTGACCGCCGCCAGCCAGAGGCGGAAGCTGGGCATCGTGCTGGAGGCCATGAACCGGAGCCTGCAGGTGGAGGAGCCCAAGGCCAAGTGGACCATGGAGGGTAGGTGGGGCTCGGCCTGGGCCCTGGCCCACAGGAGGGAGGCTGGGTGAGGGTAGGTGCGGCCTCGGCCCTGGCCCATGGGAGGGAGGCTGGGTGAGGGTAGGTGCGGCCTCGGCCCTGGCCCATGGGAGGGAGGCTGGGTGAGGGTAGGTGCGGCCTCGGCCCTGGCCCATGGGAGGGAGGCTGGGTGAGGGTAGGTGCGGCCTCGGCCCTGGCCCATGGGAGGGAGGCTGGGTGAGGGTAGGTGCGGCCTCGGCCCTGGCCCACGGGAGGGAGGCTGGGTGAGGGTAGGTGGGGCGCGGCCTCGGCCCTGGCCCATGGGAGGGAGGCTGGGTGAGGGTAGGTGCGGCCTTGGCCCTGGCCCATGGGAGGGAGGCTGGGTGAGGGTAGGTGCGGCCTCGGCCCTGGCCCGCAAGTGGGAGGCTGGGTGAGGGTAGGTGCGGCCTCGGCCCTGGCCCGCAAGAGGGAGGCTGGGTGAGGGTAGGTGCGGCCTTGGCCTGGCTCGCGGGAGGGAGGCTGGTTGAGGGTAGGTGGGGCGCGGCCTCGGCCCTGGCCCGCGGGAGGGAGGCTGGGTGAGGGTAGGTGGGGCGCGGCCTCGGCCCTGGCCTGCCGGAGGGAGGCTGGGTGAGGGTAGGTGGGGTGCGGCCTCGGGCGAGGGAGGCTGGGTGAGGGTAGGTGGGGTGCGGCCTCGGCCCTGGCCCGCAGGAGGGAGGCTGGGTGAGGGTAGGTGGGGCCTCAGCCCTGGCCCGCGGGAGGGAGGCTGGGTGAGGGTAGGTGGGATGTGGCCTCGGCCCTGGCCCGCAGGAGGGAGGCTGGGTGAGGGTAGGTGGGGTGCGGCCTCGGCCCTGGCCCGCGGGAGGGAGGCTGGGTGAGGGTAGGTGGGGTGCGGCCTCGGCCCTGGCCCGCGGGAGGGAGGCTGGGTGAGGGTAGGTGGGGTGCGGCCTCCGCCCTGGCCCATGAGGCGCAGGCACAGAG